TTTTGAGTCGAGGCGCGGCCCTCGCAGAAGCACACGCCCTAGTCCCGTCCAAGTTAAGGTAGGCAGGCTTTTAGAAAACGGAGTCCCGAAAAGATTGGTAGGGTGAACGGGGAAAAAAAAAACCAAGGCCATGATGCTTTGGATGACCCCACGATGGGCAAGCAGGCGTGTTGTGGGTTATTGCATAGTCCTCTCCCTCCCCCGACAATATGAATAGCTTCTAGGGATACACCACACGGTCTAGATCTCGGTCCACGACGACAGCTTTGCACTTCGTCCCGCAAAAAAGTACACTGTCGTCGCACAGAGCAGCAGGAGAGCAGAGCCGCCTTTCGTTTGGTGTCTCTGGTCTCGACTGAGGTGTTATTCAATGCACGCTTCAGCTCGATCTCCACGTCGAGGCTGTGGGGGAGAAAATCGACGCAAGGCCAAAAAAGGGAAATAACAACAAGAAACGGAAAATATGAGCCCGACCCTCGGTTTGAGACCCCCTCATCGGCATCGCGAACATGAGGAGTCTGGAATCTTTCCTGGGGGCGGATGAACCTCTGTGATTTCCTGGACCCCTCTTCACCGTCAGTACGCGGCTTTTCACTACCCCTCCTAGGCTCCTACCCAGCCCCAGGCCCAGGGGCCCTTGGCTCGACAGGCACAGCAAACTGGTTTCCGAACGCATACTTCACGTTCCGGATCCCAGAGGAGCGAGATACAGCCCTGGCCCGGGAGAAGAGAGTGGTAGCCTGGCAGGGTAGGAGAAGACAGAGCAGCAAGCAAGGCAAAGCTCGTCCCCCAGACGAGAGCTCCTGTTCCTGTGTAACCGTTCGAGCCGGGGAGCGGTTCTACGAGGGGGAGGTGGTCTAGACCAGTCCATAGCCAGACCAGGGCCAAGAGGTCGGGGAAAACACGGGCTGGCGTTCTAGACCGATCCATATGCAAAGGAGAAAGTCTGTTGCAATGCTGTGCAGTGCATGTCTGGGGGTTGCCCAAGACACCTACAGCGGAATGTCATGGAGAGACTCGAGGCCCGTCGTCTGATTCTCATCAAATGGTCTGCAGACAAAATGTCACTTGTCAATCGTTCGCTCCACTAAAGCTCTAAAGTCTGGTCTACCTTGGTCTCCCCCCCCCTTCCCCCCCCCCCCGTCTTACAACACCTCGTTTTGACCACGCAGGGGGGAGGCCTCACGATACACCATTGACCAGACAGAGATCCGAGAGAAGACCCAAGTGGTTGTGATACCTGCAAGTGCGCTGTCGCATATGCGAAACCCACACAGGCCCGCCTCTTTTGCACTCCCAGAGACGCCACTTTCACCGACATTTTGTGATCCTTCCCTCGGAAATTTCCAACAGCTCATGCAAGAAGAAATCATCAAATTGTCACAAGACGCCACGGTTCTCGAGCGAATCCGCATCTCGTGATGCCCGTATTTGCCGTGGGTTCCGAACGGACGGACAGACTGACGGACATTCGGACAGGCAGACAGATCGCACGACCCCTCATTCAGACTTCTTCCCCTTACCCAGCTTCAGGAAGCCTAATCCAGTTTAACTCACAACCCGCCGAAGGGCTTGTTTCTCACGCTGGGAATGCAAGGTAGAGAAGAGTGGGAACCTCCGCGGCACCGGCCAGGATCTAGGCCTAGGTGCTTCTCTCTGTCTCTCTTCCGTCCGTGTCACAACAGACGCCGAGGTCCAAACCTTTTCTTTGTCAGTTCAAGAAAGGCCCTTGGACTACAACACAACAAACGGTCCCATCTTTTTAGCCCTTCTGCTCTCCACTACGGTTTGGTCCGCAAGTATGCGTAGTTCGATCTTGAAACTCAACCCGTCGCGACACCGAGCGAGCCGAGGAAGGAAAAATGTCTTCTTTGGGGAAGAGGGCAAGACAAAAAGCCAAAGAAAGGATATGGCCCCAAGGAGGGAAAAGGGAACGAGGCCGATGGTTTTCCTCATTTGGCTTTTTTCGTATTTCCCGCCGGAGCTTCGTCTAGTCTAGACTTTCCGGCTCCGATCATAGCGGAAACAGTAGCGGCCAACTTTGGGGCTTTCTTCCTTTCTGCTTCACGTCCCCTATGAAGCAAGACACAGAACACGTGGGAATGCCAGAAAGCCTTTCAGGACAGGGAATACGTGGTACTTCAAGTTGGGATGCCTTTCTCATTTTTTCCCTCTTCCTTTCCGCAAGAAACGGAACCTAAACCACAACCTCAAGTTTCCTGGCCCGCGCCTGCGTTCGCAACCTGGCCGACTCTGAAAGATTAAATTAAAGTAAACGCCGATTTATCGCCATAAGGTTATCTCGCGAGACATTTGCTATCGTTATCCAACGCCCTTACCCACCTCCCTTTCCAGCAGAATGAATGCTGGACAAGGTCCAGACCGCCGTGGAACCCGTCTATTCATCAAGCCACGCTTCGTTAGTCAGGCAGCCGCTTCCGCCCCCAGCTATGTTCCGTCGGCGAGCTTATCAACACAAGCCTTTTGGCAAAAAAAGCTTAGCTATGCGCTTGCTCGAGCTAGTTCCCCCTCGAGAATTCTCAACCACTGGTCGTCAATGAGTCTCTTGCGAGTCACGAGGGTTATTATTTGCTGCCAGGTCAAAGGCTAAGCTCACCCCTCCATCTTGACATCTGCCGCCTTGTCGAGGTTCTTGAGGAGGTAGCTGCGCTTAAAGTATTCGTTGGGGTGGACAATTGTCTCGAGTTGTGCAGACGTGAACACGCCCTCGTCTTTTGCCTTTCTGAGTTCTTGCTTATGCAAATACTCAAACACACTAGATATGGGTTAGCCAGTTGCCGCCAAAACGGTACCAGAAGCGCGTTGACGGAACGGAGCTGTGAGACGTACCGGTTACACGCCATGTGGAATTTCTGATTCTCCTTGTCTTCCTTGACGCCCTGTAGTGTGGCTCGGTCGCTCACACCCATGCCTTGCATCAGAGTGGTCAGGTTCTCCAAGTTGAAGTGACGGTAGGGGCAGCCGTGGGCCTCGCCCGAGCCGGGCGGGTGCTCGGTCAGGATCTTCTGACAGCTGAACGGGCTGTAGCCGCCTCCGCGTCGGTTCGAGTCGCCGCCGACGTCGCCGTACACGTGGCGCACGTTGTAACGGTACTCCTTGTTGAAAGTGTCGTCTGTGATATTGCGGAAGCTCTGCCTCCAGAAGACGAGGCACTCCTCGAGGTTCAGCCCGATGCCCTTGAGGAAAAGAGAATATTGCAAGCGGCCAAAGTGCTTGAGGTGAGCGTCCCGGCGCAGTGAGCGGTGGAGGTGCGACATGCAGGCAGGGAAGTGTTGTGCGAGGTTGTCAATGTTGCGGGCGGTGATCTCGGCGCCGGGCGGGGCGGCGGTATTTGAGCTGTATGAGCTGTCTGGCGTGATGAAGTTCTTGGAGAGATGGTCGAGGATTGGAGTTAGGCGATCGTCTTCGTCGAGTCGGGGCAGAGCGCGTGCCGTGAGCTGCTCAACGTCAGTATTTCTCAGACGCCGTGGTCATGTCGAGAGCCTACCTCCAGCTGTCTCTCTAACCGCGAGACGAATTCTCCATTCACCATACTAGCCTGTTCCCTCCCCGGTACGAAAGCCTTGCCTGCCTTTAAGAACACCTTGCGCTGCTCTACAAGTTCTGGTACCCGATCCCAGTCAACCTTGAACCAGGTGTCGTCTTCGGTCGAGGTCATCTTGCCCCAGCCACGCGACATGGCCGCCAGCTCGGATGAGTATTCGCGCTTCTCGTCATCCGTGACGGCTTCCCACCAGTCGAGATCCAGGCTGCCGACGAAGGCGGCCCTTTCACCCAGATCGTCACTGTTGAATCGCAAACGGAAAAGCATCGTCTCCACACGAGTAAAGCGACGGCGGAGGTCCTCAGTTCGTGCAAACGCTAGGCGGAGGATGAAGTGACTGTAGTGGTCTTTCTGACGCTGCGCGAAGAGCTTTGGCGAGTGCGAGGTGTTGGACTCGAGCGGGAGGTACTTGTCGAGGAGCGGCTTCATATGATTCGCGACTTCCTGGGGGGATTTGTTGCGGAACGCGCAGGCCTCCAACTCGGCGAGGACTATTCAAGACGATTATGAGTAACAGTGGGAGAAGAAAAGGATAGAGCAAGACGCACTCCTCAGCCTGTCAATGGCCCATTGTTCGAATTGCTCGAGAGTAATGTCGGCGGTGGGCGCGTCGGCGTAAAAGTTGAGTCTGTGGGGGTATTCTAGTTCCTTGTAGGCAGGAGAAGCGAACTGCTTCTTGCGGTGGTCGACGACATTGCGCCGCTTGGGGTCGATCCGGTTGTAGTCGTGTCGCAACATTTTGGCGTTGCTTGTGCATGCGTATAGCTGAAAGTTTGGAAAGGGCTTGGTGTCGAGAGCAGACGCAAGTTGAATGTTGCTATCGAGGACTCTGGCGCCGGGGAGACGCGTTGAGTCGCGTCGTGGGGCCTTTCAATTAACCTGGCGTTGGCCAATGGAAGGTGGCGGATAGCAGCCATGCGGGTCTGGCATCCGAGTGCTTGATTATGTCAGCTCTTACACGACTATTCGGCCTTAGATAAGCAATTGTAAGTGTGATGTGATCCCGCACTGGTCTCCACCTCGCCAACTTCCATTTCCGTGTCGGTGGACTTGGGAATGAAATTCACTCCCTCCCCATTGCCTTGCTTGGCTCAACATCACGTCCCGTGAACTGGTTTATATGCATGATGGCAGCAGAAGCCCGTCTAGATTGCATCATTACTGCATGCTACGCATCGTAGCGCGAGAAAATTCCTAACCTCGGTGTCGAATTCGTCAACATGCCGCGATGGGGCCAGCGAAGGCGAGGCACACTAGACAATGTCGTCAACAACAGTTTTCCAACCAATGCCAACCAAAACCCTGAAGCAGCGTACCTGCACGGCATCACGTTTCTCGACGCGCATACCGGCGCATAGCGACGCATACCGGCAACTCCAAGTGAACGTCCTGTACCCAGTCACATCGCCCGCGGCGCCCCCGCTCGTGACCTGCCGCCGATTCCTAAATTCGAGGGACCCACCACACCTCCGGGGCACCATGTCAGCCTCAGCCGCGGGTCGCTCCCAGGCATCAATATCCCTTCATCAACACCAAATCTCCCAGCTTCAATCCACGGCGGCACTGTCTTACGTTTTGCCTACCTCAGTCCTCATATTTACGAATTGTCGAGCTGTAATATGCGACACTTTCTTACCCATTGATTTGGCGTGGGAACCTTCTCCTACTTCCTGATCCTCTGCCTCCCCTGCCTAATACCAATGCCGTCCTAGGCCGTCAAGATGGCGCCCCTGTCATCTCTTGGTCTTAATTTGCGCCTTGCCGACATCGATGAGAACCTCAAGTCTCACCCGGCCGCCCTTTCATGGCCTACTGCCAGCTTTGCCTCAAATGCGGCGTCGTTGAATCATGACTTCATCGACGATGCGCCTTGTTTCGCTTACACGGAAGTATTCGAAAGGTATGCCGAGCTTTCGTCTCGCGATGCAACTTCCGCACACCTTTCAGCGTTATACACAGAGAAATTTCTCTACTTTACTTGTCAATGATTGTTCTCCGTTTCCTCTACAATGTATCACGTCCCTGCGCCTTATTTTTGCCAATCTCGTTGCTATAGCCCCGCCTGAGTTGCATCGTACAACGATTTCGTAAGCAGACCGACTGACTGACTTCCGCTTCATCGTCACAGTGGGGAAATCTTTCAAGCAGTTTCGCCCGGTCTAGGGGTTTACTTGCCTCTCTACTCATCCCCAGCATCTCAGCCGGCCTTTACCGTCTCTAAAAGCCGCCTTTCCAAGAGTATAGAAATCGAGTACCAGAGCCTGACACTCTTGCAATCACTTGCCATTGCCATGCCCTCGCCATTTGACCTACCTGATCTTCTGACAAACTACGCAATCCTCAAGTCTCAATTGCAACACCTGGAGACCATCTCGCCATCACATCCAACAACCGTCGAGCTTCGTCTGCTCGTCCGCGACGTACTCCTGGACAGAGCCCTGTTTGCCGGAATCGGCACTGAAGTATACCGATCGAATGGCATGCTATCTATCGGTCAGCTTCACGATATGCATCAACGAAGTGTAGATGCCGGCCTGGACGACCTCGACGCCTGTTTCGCTCTGGGTCTTCTCCCGGATGTGTTGGACGATGCGTTCCTCGATGCCTTGGCCTCTAAATTTACTGAGCTTGCCCTCGCCGGTGATCTTACCGCCTTGCACGATCTGTGCGAGCCCGTCGTCCGCACCGGCGAAGTCGAGTGGGAGACAAACCCAGAGTTGCTTCTTGAATTACTTGACAGAGGCCGGCTGGACATTTATCGCTACGTTCTAGACCTGGCGTCAAGAACAAGGGACAAGTCCACGAGCCAGTCCGGATCCTTCTTACGCGACATAACCAACGACCCCCTTCACGTCGCCATCAGGCTTGGCCATGTTACGCAAGTGGAGAGTCTTTTACGTCAAGGGGCGACATTTCTAGGTGTCTATGCCGACGACGAGATGAGCGGCGGCACTGAGAATGTAGTCTTGACGCCCTTCTCCGCCGCGGTCTTCTGGGGGCAAGCCGAGATTGTTCGCACGATACTGCTGCAAACCCTCGTACCCGAGGGTTTGCGAGAGGCAGTCGCCATTGCAGTCTCTGACGAGAAAACAGAGATCATGGAAATCATGCTCTCTTTTGGGGTAATGGATACAATAGGGTCGACCACTACGGACGATACTTTCGACTGTTTCGCTGATCTTAGCATCATGGAACCAACCTCCACTACCGCGTTCCAACGAGTGCCGTCGGGTACAGACTACACAAGAACCGAGGTTGATGCTGCTTCCAGCCTTACCGGCGGCATCAATGCCAGTCAGCCTAGTGCTCCTTGTGGTCGTCGCCTTCATCGAGCGGCTGACACTCCCAGAGAGCGGGTGCGGCGCAAATGCTCTCGCCGTCGCCGGCGACTCTTGGGGCAAAGCCTGGTCTCATCCATGCACTCCCTTTGTTCTCAGCTCCGCGACTTCTGTGACTGCTCAGACCACGCAGAAGTCAACAATATGGGTGGAGACTATACCCATTCCAATACAGTATGGGATCGTGGTCTTGGTGTGTTCCGTGGTCTGATGCAGGACAGTCCGCCGTCGTCCCTTGTTGAGGTTTTTGACGCACTGCTTGTGGCCAATGCCACCTATCTGACGCTATATACAAGCGACGATTCTCTTTCACTTGAGTAAGCCATATCCTCGCAATGCACTTTTTGAGAGCAGTCAAAGGCTTCCCGAAGTGGAGTGCAGTGGTCTGCAACTAGGCCCGCCAAGTCTAACATTGACGCAGATTTGTTGATGATCTCGATCGTTGGCGCTCCATTCTACCAGCCTCATCGCAACTCCTCTTCGACGACCTGGCATTCCACATGTGGGGATACACCCCATTAGGCCAAATGCCTTTGCATCCTGACTCAGAGTGCCTCCCACATTTTCAAGACTTGGCCCAAAATCTCATTTCACTTGAGAAGCGCAAGGAGTCGATACCGTCAAGGATCTCAACGCCTGGTATTAGGCTTGCGGCGATACAGAGGGCATTTGAGAACCAAGAGACTCACCTAGGAGTTGCGAGTAGTCAGGCCCAGACAATACCGGGTCGATCACAGTCGGGCCAAACCTCCTATGCCGGCTCTTCAACCCAGCGCGATGATCTTTTCTGGGCAGACTTTCTACACATGGACCGCCTTGAGGATACCACTTTGAGGCAGCCGGCGCCGTCATCGTCTTTGAATGGAGGCTGGGAGGACGTACTCTCTTCTACGATGCTGCTGCTCTTCTCCGTGGCTTTCTCCATCGTGCTTGGGCTGATCTTGGGCAAGTACACCGTCACCTATGCTGCTAAACTAACAAACTAACATGAGCCCAGGCTTGCACTCAGGGTCTAAAAAGGCCGTCACCGAAACTGTCACCACCACGCTCTCGGGATACTCTCGTTGCTATGCTTTAATAGCAGAATATCTTAGGATGCATGGCATCTCGATTCAGCCCAGTCTATCTGCTGGCCAGCTGTCTATCCCATCACTTGCGGCTCAATCACCGGCGCACGGATCAGAGGTATGCACCACCCCGTCGAGCAGCTTCTCGTCCCTCAGCACACTGGGCCTTCGCCGGGACGTATCATCTTCGAGCATAAGGTAAGCCACAACCTATCCAAGCATAACACCCCCAACATCTGGCTCGCTCTTACACCGTCTACAGTAGCATCGGCAGCGCCGCCGGCTCGGCAACGTCGCGCTCGACGCCGCGCGACCACCGGAACAGAGGAGACAGACTACCGTGCTTGACACCGCAGTGCACAAAGACGTTTTCGAGCGTCAGCAACCGCAATAAGCACCTCCGCGAGGGGTGCGCGTTCAATCGCGAGAAGAGACAGGGGTATCCGTGCAGGAACACATCTTGCTCGAAAGTGTTGACGACGAAGTGGTATCGAGATACGCATGAGAAGGAGAGATGTCGATTCCGCAGAGGCTACTAAGTGGCTTTGACGGCACGTTGAGGATGGCATACTGAGTGGTTCAGTCCGGAGAAGCGGGCTATTTACCTACGGTAATGAGCAGCTAATAGATCACCATCTGGATAATTGCAGGCGTCGAGAATCATTCACAGCTTACAGACCTCTAGGAGTTCGAAGTAGGCACAGATGGAGATGGTGAGAGGGCACCAGTGGACTTGGTGGGGTACATAGGTCCGCACGCGATCGCCCCTCCCAACCAACTATCACTGGATGAAAACATCCACTAATCCCCGATAGTCTAGTGGTGAGGATATCTGCTTGTCATTGAAAATCAACGATTCGCAGGGGACCGGGGTTCAATTCCCCGTCGAGGAGTTTCTTTTGCACTTTTACCATATATAACCCATCTTTTTTGTTCTATCCTCTACAGTTCTCGAAGTATTTTCCACCTTGTCCCTTCCCTTCCCGTTTTCGAGATGTGCCCCAACTTGAGCCTCCGATTGGGCTAATCGTCTTGTCACATAACGGATGCTGCACGCTCGGCAGCCGGTACTTTTGACAGAACATGGGGCGCCCACATGCGCTCCATTAAGAAGCCAACATCCGTATTTGTCGAGTTCGCCTTTCCAAACTCATCCAACGCCTTGCGACAGTCTTTATTTGGCAGCTTCAGTATCATCTCCCGCCGGACGGCAAATTTACCGCCGTGCATCGCCCGAATCGCCAGCGGGTGTGGTTGATGTTAAGTCTTGTGGCGTTGCTGTTAGCTTAATTGGTTGAGAGTGTCTTAATACAGGTTAAGGGCTCATTTATAGTCCTGCTATTACCGATATTAAATAGTTTATATTAGTTTCTATTATATTGACGTTTCGCTCCGGTATATAGCACCAGTATCCTCAATCGTTTGTGGCTAGATTGACTTACGGTTACGGGGGCTTAAGGGATCAGGATGAGGCCAGGGGCTGGGGGAATCACGTGTTGGATGGAGGCTGGGATGGAGTGTCGTTGGATTTCGTTGACTATACCAAGTGGTCGAGCCACCGTCTCACACCAACTCGCTATTACACCAACACGATGGCCGCGCTAATCGGATGGGCTATTTAACTATGATGCACTCAGTCTGATTAATAGTTATTAATGGATACGATGCAACCTCGGTATGGGAGCCAGAAGATACGTCTGCGTAGTAGGAACCAAAATTGAGTACGTAGATAGGTTGTATTCTCTAAGTAGTGGTTCTGTCCCACCTGGTGTATTTAACTCCTTTTGTCAGGGGTGCCGCGGAGCTTCCGGACCGGGGAGTGCTCACCCACCCGACCGATCCTTCCACTTCACACTCAGTTCTTGATCCTTTCCTTTCCATCCCATCGCATCCCATCGGGAGGCTGGTCTGTGCCGTTGAGACCGGTCATCGAACTCTGATCCATCAAAAATATCCCACCGGTGCCATAGGAAGATGGAAACTTACGATGCCGATATTTTTTAATAATAAATACTTCGTGTCTGCGTGGATTGAGTCCGTCATAGGGACTCACAAACATCATCACACACTTTGAAGTTGGATTTGCATTGACTTTATCCTACGTATTAGACGATTAGTCAGATACACTAGCTTACTCTCTGTTCTCAACTTAGATTCGTGAGTCAACTAACTCCAAATTGTTAGCGTCATATCAACGTGTGCTATAGCAATTTTGCATCTAGATCCGCTTTCGTATGATGCACCCACCAATTTCGAATTAAAACAGGAGGGTGGGCTTTTTTGTCCTTTAAGCACCGCTGATTGATTCCTGAACCTCTTAACATCTACTACGGAGAAGCATAATCTCGTTAGATAATATGGAGTGTTCGCCCTCGAACGCAGGCGACTATGGCAACCAGCCCACCTACCCAACTGGGCAACACGGTCCCACCCAAGACATTTCACATGAAAGGACGTGGTTGAAAGTCCCTGACATGTAGCTTGGTTATATTTGAGTAGTACGGGTACAGCCAGTATATGCCATGAGGAGTCGGGACCAGCCCGGAACAGGTATTGTACGTTCTTCTTCCAGAAGGCAGGTGGTAAGTACTGGAACTCGTTCCATGAGTCTTGAGGAGGGTTTTCAACAGAGATTCACTGTTAATCACATCTATATGATTATAATGCCGCATAGGTTGCAAATCGATTCGAAGGCGAAGAGCCCAATGTCTCTGTCGGAATCTTCGTATCACGAGCAGTGGTAGCCTTGCGGCCGTTGTGACCAAGTAGATATCTCTCTGTTGGATATACAATGCTACTTGACGTGCAAGTAGGAGGATAGCTAGAAGGTCTAAGTCTCTGTCTCATATATTCCTAGCCACCCCTAGTGTGGTGGCACTAGATAGTCTCGAGGGGAGCTCCAGCATCTACGTCGCCTAAACCTTTGAGGGCAAGATCCCCTAACGTTCAAGACTTCGATCTTGATTGATACACCATACAGGCTGGGTTGGAATAGCACGCCTGCCCCGAACATTATAGCTCCCCTCTTCCCCACGAGCTAGCAGCTTGGCACGTAATTCATGCCAATGGCCACCCCACCCCCGCCGTTTAAAAACACTTTCCACCCGAATTCCAGCCGCATCCAAGATGGAATCCCCCGGGCTGATCGCAATGGCCTTGCGTGTTGTTCGAATTGGGAGACTTGTATGCGTTGTGGTTACAGCTGCATAGGGCGCATCTGTGGTCGTCGTACTGGATGTCGCCGCAGTAGCACTTGATGCATGCGCCGAGGCAGTAGTGCTTCGCGGCAACAGCAGTCGCCAATGACAGGAGACCGAATACTGTGGCGAACTTCATGTTTTGTGTGATAATGCGAATCTTTTGGTTTCTTTGATATGTGATGGTGTTTTCAAGGCAGAAGCTCAGAGAAAGATGATGGCTTGAGGGCTAGTGTGAAGATTGCTGGCGGTTCTGATGAGTCTCAACGAGCTGGCTGTGGTTAGCTAAATATACGCGATGTTTTATCTCTTGATTTCCATCTACTGGTCATCTTGTTTGGCGAGAAATAAAGCGAACCATGGTGTTATGACGGAGAAGCCGAGAAACCGGAACGAACGATACTAAGCACTCGACGATAGATGCGCGGGCCCACCAATCGCGCTCTAATTTTTTTCTAGCCGGCCTCGCATCAGTGCAAGACTTTGCGGAAGACAACGGTGAGCCCTGTAGGACTTGTCGCTGACAATTTCGAATTTTTCATGGGCAAGAACTGATCATGAATTTGAGCTTTGGGAAGCAGATGAGCCCGGTCAAATAATTGACCATGCTCCCTTTCCGTGCAGCTGCGAAGAGCACGTGTTGCTTCGCAGGGCTACGAACCTCTTGTCACATGGACAAAGCCTGTGGCCAATCGATGAAGAGTAGTGGGAGCTGAAGAACTTGAGATGATCCTCTTATTTGAACTGTAGCTGAAAGTAGGTGTGAGATGCTTGATGTCTACATCGTGATGTTCAAACAAAGCAAATCAATATCACAACATTCTCAAGACATGGTCGTTGAAACAGCTCTACCACCCTCGCGGTAGCTAAAGGGGTATAGCTTCGAGTCATGGATTTGACATTGTCAAATTTGGACCTGTTTAGAGCTCCCCCTACTTAGGCGCTCATGACCGAAGATTGGTAAATAAACCCAGGCCGAATTCTCTCAAAAATTCAACACACCTCGATAACGAGGAGAAAGAGAGCCTGGAGGAGTTCAACGTCATTGTCCTGAAGAGGATCCGTCCGTGGTTGACTCGATTTTACGAAAGTCTGACTAGTTTTTCTCGATTAAACTTTTCCGAGCGAAGAGCGGCATTTTACGCTTGCGAACAGCCAGTTAGTTCATCACTCAGGGAGGTTAAAAAACTCTTGCTTCTGATGATAACTATGGGAAGCATCGGTATTTCCGAAAAAAGTCGTAATGTTTAAAAGGTCGATGGTGGCTCCCTGCCCGTTTGAATTGCTGTAAGTTCCGTAGCATGTTTAGCATCGATGACCTGGCGACAGGCACCCCCGGCTGAGTCGAAGAGCTAGTCAAGGCCACTGATTCAGTAAACGGCCACGTGGAGCGGGGCTTGACCAAAATGGCTTTGCTTAGCCATTGAAGATGACGATGCTGCAAAGATCCTTCGGTCCTTCGGAGAGCTGGCTCCGACGTCTGGAGCAGTGCACAAGAGTATGCACCGTAGTCAAAGCCTTGTGGCGTTACTATCAAAGCTAATATAGCAGGGTATTTCAAATCGATTTATCGCTCTTACTGTCAAGATGACCTGAAAAGCTCTGGTGCGAGTCAGGCATAAGCAGAATACTGCTGTTAGATACACAACGGCCGCCCTTGATATCGGCATCAATGAAAACAGCACCTAAGTCGAACGAGCCCTTTTCAAGACTCCATGACATGACTCCCGCAATCCTTTCTCCAGATGTTTTGAAGTGATTCTGATGTGATTGGCTCGTCTTCTCCTGCGAAGCTGAATGAGCCAATATAAAGCTGTCCCGAGTCTATTGACTTGGTTACACACCATTTCCATCGTGGTGAAGAATGCACAGAAATCTCACCCTCACCTACCAGTAGCTTCGTTCAGGGACACCCTTATGAACACGAGCTCTTTCATGAATTGAACCCAAATTCTAGTTATGTAATCAGACAATTGGCGTCCATGGAAGTTCAGGTCTCTCTTGAGAAGTCAGTAAAACTTGCATTGATCTAGGTAGGACTGAATTCTTCTACAAAAACAAGATTCTAGTTAAAAGAGATGAGTTCACATGGCCGAGTTTTGCCATCTCTAAACAGACAGCGTAGATCCTGTAGTGCAGATACTATCGCAGCTTGGAGACCCTCTGCTGTGATATTTTCTAGGATTTCATGAATAAGCTCATCAACAACCACGAAGGAAGAGGTGTACTCTAGCACCAATGACCGAGCTACCATTATAGGGTGGACTTTTGATTTTTACTAATCATCTGTCGCGAATGCAACAGTAACACTTTCCAAGAAGACAAGGTGCCGAAAAGTTAAATGGACCCTTATGCGGCTTGTTGATTAAGGTTCAAAGAGAAGAGTTCGCAATGGCTGCTATGCTTTAGTCGACAATATACAAGTCGACGCCGTTATCAAAACTTGCGGCTAGCCCTACAAGAACGCCCGAATTCTTAAGTGATTACACAATATAGTGCTTCTGAGGATACCAAAGGTTCTAGTCCACGACCCTCGGTTTCGAAAGGTGACGAATCCCTAAAAACGAAAATATCTAGTTGGCATGTGTATATTGGGGTCGAGGAGCTTATTATGCTATTTTAACATTTACTAAAGCTCTGACGTAGTACCCTCGAACTCTCTACTTCAAGTGCTGTCATGGTATCTCAATCGTGACTATTCTCTTCAGGCAAGAGGTTAGATAAAAAAGTAGGAAATAGTATAGAAACCAAAGAGGAAATGCCAGCTTTCTTGAAATTGAAGGTAGCAGATGATCAGGCATTAGGCATCGATGACTACGTGACTGCACCCTTGGTCATGTGACACGGCCATCTGCAAACGCCAGAATTGCATGCGGGATGGCGGAGTGTCTTGACATTTGATCGCCTCGTTGCTTTGATAGGGTTGGAGCAATTCAATCATAACCTGACTCCGGTGTCCCATTAGTTCCCGCATCCCTCTGAGAGTAGAACTGAAATGTTTGTTGATATCCTCTATTGAGTTCAGAGATGAGCTACATCGCTTCCCAGTGTATATCAATATTCTAGCTTTGCCCGGTTGCAATTCAGCAAGTCAACAAACGATTTGAAATAGAGATGCAGCATAAGCAGTGTGGGGAAGGATTCAGTTGGATTCTATGATGGTATCTTTTGGCTCTATCGGAACATGTTTTGTACAGTCTTATGCTATTCCCCCAATGCTAAATATAAGGCACACCCATTCGAAGACCTGTGGCTTAATTATACACAGGGGTGATGAGGTCGAAAGAGGGGGAACCGGTGTAGTGCTGGACAACGGCGTTGGGCTGGTTGGAGATTTCAAATTCGCAGTTGGAGAGAAGGTGGGAGCCAGTCTGGTTGCTGGTGGGGGAGACGGGCTGGGAGACGGTGAGGGTAAGGCCCTCGACGCCGCGGACGATGTCGAAGGTGCGCGAGGAGAAACCGCAGGTGCCATCCGTGACGTCGGGGAGGAGGCCGCTAGGGTTGCCGGTGACGAGGGCGGTGCAGTTGACACCGGTGGTTTCCATGGTGCCGGGCTGGATGACGGTGAATCCGTAACTACAAGAGGATGTTAGTAAGTTGCATCGGGAAATATGTTAATGACTTTGTCCAAGACTTACGAGCACTGGGTGCTGTGGGGCACGCAGCTAGCGCCGAAGTTGGAGACCTTGAAGATAACGTCGCGCTTGCTGATGGCAGCAGCGGCGGCAACGGAGGCGGAAGCGAGGATAGCGGCGAACTTCATTTTGAAGGTTGAGTTGTTTGGTGTTTGTTTGGTGATTAAAGAATAGGTTGTGATTGTGAGTTGGTTGTGGTTGTGATTAGAGGAGTTGATTGGTTGTGTGTGGCCAAGAACGAAACGGATTGTAGAGTTTGCGATGCTGTTGACCTTATGTATTCTCTTGAATGCGACTGAATCTTGGACAATACGAGGAGGCGGGAGGCTATCCACCGGGGCAATGACGATCGCCAACGGCGATCGGTGGACCCCGGTACTGCCGAACTCGTATTGGCACCCAACTCCCGTATTAGTTCAGAGGTGGAACGTCATAGCCTCCAAGCCCCTATATGACGTCCCATATGCAAAATAAATAACGAAAATGCCCACTTCGCATCGTTCATCTGGCAACAATAGCCCTACTCAATTTGTGAGTTCCTGCCTTGTGCAAAGTAGGTAGCTTTGAAGAGGAGACCGCGCATGATGAAACGCCTCACCCGCGCCCTCTTACCATAGCATGCAAAAACTCCAACAGTATGATCAAACCACATTAGAATTGATCATGGCATAACGTGGAACAGGGGCTCTCCAGCTTTCGTCGCGGGAATACCTCAAATTCCCTCAAATTCCCCCCAGCCTTAAACTCCCGCGTGCCCATAACAGATCCAAAAAAGCCCCCCTTATTAGCTGGCTCATGGCATGGTACCTCACAACTTGTGTGATTAGACGAATACTCGTACGTATTAAGGTACCCTGTGATTGGACCACCTCACATCCTTCCCCGCCTTTGAGGCACATGATGGGACGACTGTCAACTCTTAATCTATCTATTTTGGGCAACTTGCAGACGAGAGAACCCTGTCGCGCGATCCCACTTCAGCCCCGGAGTTGGGAGAGCCTTACGCACGCCAAGCTTCTTCCCGCGGCTCAGATGAACCGGAGCCGATGCCGATTCCTTGCGCAGTGGCCACTCTCCCTGCCAAGCTTGAAGCGTTGGCATGTCGGTGGCAGGGGTCTCCTTCCATGCATGACTTACTGCTCGGCCGAATCCCTGATGAGCGTGGACTCTTTTGAGTCCATGACTTGTTGATTCTGTTTTTGTTGACTGACCACTCACGGGTCGTAAATGTTTTGACGAGGGAGATCAGCCGCGGAGACCGAGGGAGGCGTAGCGTTCTGCCAGTCGTTGATTGGGTTGAGCGGCAAGGGAGCACTACAGAACGCTCGTGGGATGAGTACACCGAAGCGCCGTAGACTCTCTCAGTCATACTAGGATGTGCTTAGGAGGTCATCCATCTCAACATCTCCAGGCGGTGAGACTTTCATCGTTGTTGTCCCTTGCCTGTCTCTTAACGGTGGGCCACGAAACCTATACGAGATCCACCACATGTGTCAAGGGGTAGTGATGATGGGTGATGAGACATCGCTAACGATATGCGACTAGTACAATGACCTGATTGCCTTACAGCAATCGCCTATATCGGCTTTACGGCTAACTTTTTGGCATTGTGGGAGAGATGTTTCCAGGTCGCGGAAGCAATTCTCGGGCCCTGAATGCTCACCCTGAATGCTCAAAAACGAGGTTACGTAACGTTGTGTGAGTCGTTGGTTGAATTGGGTCCGACCAAAGTCTTCAAAAGGCATGTTCATGACGTCGATGTCCACTTCGTACCCGGATCTGGCAAGACTCTGCTCCCCCATTCGGGGCGCCGGGGACTCGGGGAAACCTCCAATGCGACTTTGGCGCGGCCCGCGACGCCACTTCCTCGATTTCAGGGTTCCGCTCTAGTCGGAATAGGGATCAAGGCGTTTAGTTGCGAGAAAGTAGCGTGCATTGGGTCCGCGCCGGTCGAGTTTTTCTAAAATTTCTAAAAGGGAGAGGCGCAAGAGTATGCGAAAACATTTCGATCTGCAAGCCCGCGGGTGTCCTGAAAGGCAAGGAATTCTAAAATAAGAAAGGGAAAGAGGTTTAGTAGGGAACTCGAGATGGAAGTGGATCATTTTCCCTTTAATAGAAACAGCGGGCTTTGAGTTTCCCGGGCACAGCGAGGCTTCGCCCCGAATCAAGTCCAGTTTTCTTAAAAGTTGCACGAGTCACGCCAATCTATGTCACCACCTCCTGTCGGAATTTTAACCTTTCCAGCTCTTTCTGGTAACCTGATAAAGATGCCGCATGTTCTCCTTCTCTGGCTCTAAGGCCATGCCGTCAGTCTCCTTGGGTCCGCCCAATCTTGTAGAGAAGTCAGGAGGACCGCTTCGGATTTCCTGGATCCTGGAACGCTGTCTGTGTCACGCTTGTCAAGATTCAATGTTTTCCTCTTTAACTATTTCCCCCTCAATTCTGCACCATATCATTGTCCACAAAAACTCTTCGAGAAGGCTATTTTATATGAGTCAACAGAGCTGATAGAGATCCAACTGATCGCTTCGCTTCTTCAGCTGATCGAAGATCTGCCAGCGTCGGGGTGCTCTCAGAGGGTACGGAACTGTTTTCCTCTCGGCTTCAATGATTCTGATCACTTTTGAGCCCTTCGATTTGGGGCATTTCAGCCCCATCACGTCCAGTAAACATCGACGTTGTAGTGCAACTATTGTCACAAACTTGCGATGAGCTGGTGTATGGCATTCCAAATGAGTTGAAAGATCCGTCAACCGATCGCGGCTGCTTTCGCAGCGGCAAGAGGCACTAGCTCTCTCGATTGATTGGATCGCCAAGTTTCGCCCTTGTCTCTGAGACCCCTGGGTAGAGCATCCTCATGACATGACCATCCTTCGTATCTGAGAAGGTTTTCCTGCTTACGATCTCGGAGTTGGCATGGAGCATGTCGAAGTTGACATCAAACACCTCGGCAGTGTGCTGGGCTAGGCGTGTATTCCCACGGAACCGGTCAATATATGTGAGGAAAATGGTATTGTCACTGCATGAGCCGATACAATGATTGATCGTCATAGCGAGGCTCACAGCGTTCACGAGGAGTAAGTTGTTGGGATTGATCGGCCGGCGTAAGAGAATCCCCACAAGGCTTTCGCTTGAACGTAGCACCAAAACCTGCCTTTGCTTTCATATTCAGGTGGGAAATTTTGCGCCCTAAGATGATATGCGCCGCGTTGAGGAAATTGCCTCAGACTCCTAGTCAGAATTCGCCTTTGACTTGACTTTGAGCCTGATGGTCGGTCTATGAGCGCACTGTCAAGGTCCCTGGTGAGCCCGATTCAGCCAGCACTGTTACATGACTACATGACACAGGGCGCAGCTTTCATCACGCGGTATCAGTTTCTGAAGGTGGTTCTTTTATACGCAGTCTGTGGGAGACTGAGAGTCAACGTCTGGATTCTAGAGAACCGCCAGCCGTCCTGATCCGTAGTACTGTTACTATCGTACCATCCAAGACAGGCAGCCGCTGTCTTTATCTACGATGTGGGTGGTATTAACTGAATCTGATGTGCACGCTGCCTTCTGAAAGCGAGGTTTGTCGCGTACTAAGCGTCGCTATTCGTACTCAGGTACCTAGTTGGTGCGAAATTGAAGGTTGAGAGATGAGGTTATGATGAAAATGCCCTGGGCTTTTTTGTATTAGGTGGCCGAAAAGTTTTAGAAGACAATGCTCAAGTGCTTCAGTCTTCACATCAACAGCACATACACTTACCTAAATCAGAACAAACCATCTCGAATGTCTTGAGGTAGGCTAGGCTACTCAATTATGTGGGCTTGCAACTATGAGCTGACAATTATTGATCTTGCGACGCCGCCAAGGCCTTCAATCCAACTTCACCTTTGCTCGTTCCCCCCCCCGAGAGTCATCTCGATCAGCACAACATCTAAGCTGAAGGCACAACTCCATTTACATGTTGCAAGGCTGGTTAATAACTCTACATTCATTTTGAAGCACCCGGTTTTGATTGGGTTAGACAATTAGAAGCAGTGTCTGAAGTCTGCTTGCCTGTCTGAAATCTTGATGGGAATGAGCTACCGACACTTGACCCAAGGTGTCTTGAGCCAAGTACAAATGAAGTCTGATCCTAACTTTTCAGAAGTCGAAGCTTCTATTGAAACCGTTAAGTAAGTCATGGTTCCTTCGTTCGACCTTGGCACGTGAAATAACAGCATGTTAAGTATCATAATGAGACTGCGACCATACTTCATTCAGTATTGAACAGACATACAGAGGGCAGCAAAAGTAATGATCAAAAGAGATTGCGTCGAGGGGGAATCGAACCCCCGGCTCCCCGACGCTGCTTGATGGCAACGGAGAATTTTACCACTAAACCATCGACGCTTGGTATTGAATTCGGCTGAAAACACGGATGCTGGTGAGAGCCGAAAACGGGACCCAAGTTTACTTGGGTGAGTGGATGCCGCTGTGTGTGTTCGTGGGTATGAGATAGTTGAGGACGAAAGTTCACGATGCCCAACCAGGTTCCATTTCTATCTGGCAAGACTCAATTGCTAACCCCACTCTAGGAAAGGGGAGGCTAATTGAGCAATACCAGAGTTCATGTGTGAGGAGGTTTTTTTGTTGCCTCTGCAGCCGCAATGAGGAAAAATGACTCTGCATGGGGCGCTGAAAATTTACGGGAAAGCAGCTGGGCTTATTCTATGAAATCGAAACGAGCTCTCTTCAGGAACAAGCCAAGATACAACTTATATGAGGAGGAAGAAGTTCATGCTTGAAGTTTGTCATAAGATTAGGTAGGTAAATGTTTTTTACCCAACGCAGACTCAGAACTGTTTCTAGACAAACCCAGGACTAGCAGATCTTTTCCTCTAGCAACCTTGCAGTACGCTCTTGAACAAGCATTCTTCCATAGAGGCTTCGAATCTGACCCTGTCTTCTTGCTTGAACCCAATTCGGAAAATGAAGCACGTACATGTCATTCCTCACCCCGTTAGTGACCATGTTTGATTTCTATTGCTGGTCATGTGTGAGCCCTTGCATTCATTCAATGCGTGTATTACCAGTGTGCGAGTTCAAGAAAAGACTCAAAGTCTTTGATTAGAAGCAGGGTAATCATCTTCAGTCAAGATGTGCTTCGTCCGCAAGTCCCATCACGGGACAAGTATGCCAGACGTCTTTCACCGAAACCTCGCCCCATCACTCACTACAAAAAGTGACTCCAAATGCCATGTGCTACCTATGAGACTGTCACCCCGCCCTCGTGTTTCCCGGGTGCGGTAGAACGTTCCTCACCAACGGGCTGACCAGCAGTCAGCCTGGCCCAAGGGCTGAGACATGCCTTGTGACCCCCTCCGGTTGCAGTGGTGGCGCGTAGGCGGTCCGACAACATGCATGTTGGAGTCCAGGATCTGGGCATCTAGACCGTCGTGCTCGAGCGGGGATTCCCACGTTTTGCTAGGTGCCGTCGGACTAGCACATGGCATGGCAAGATGACATGCGGACTATGGCCAATCAGACGTTCGGGGTTTCGAAGCCAGAGACATTGGATTCCAGCTGATGAGGGGGAAAGGGAACGTGGCTGGGGGTCCCCTCGGAAACGCCCAGGTGCTAGTATTAAGTAGGCTATAGGATGTACCTGCATGTAAGACTCCTTCGACTTTCCCGTAACTTAGTCTCCAGTTAACGTGGGGATTGTACGACATACCAGTAAGAGTAATTCTGTGCCACGGTGATTCAAGAACAACCAGAAGTTCAGCCTCGAGTGAGGAATTCTACTTTTTGAATAGACCTGCGCTCACAGCAAGAAAAAGAATTCCACAGCGAGATGTGCGAGGACTTTCAGAATGCCGATGAGGCTTGGTTGCGGGCTCCAACGTGCCGGAAGCGGACCGGCGCGTGCCCGTCGGGACTTCAGCCGCAACTTCCTAGGGCCTAGAATGTGAAATGAGACACTCGAAAACTTTAATCATCTCCTCTGGCTAGGCATTCACATGAAGTCGTCTCTGGAAAAGAACATGCTACTCAGAAGATGGTGTCCCTGCTGAACCTCGCTGTGAAGAGATAGGCTACAGCTCTCATCTTGGCATGCCGGAAGGAAGGCAGCGGGCGGATAGGAGTGACACCAACGGCTTGAGAAGAGAAGAGAAGGAAAAAATTGGAAAAACCACTGTGTAGTTTCAAAGCGGTCTTGGTGTTGGGCTGTCAGCTTCAAATGCGGCTGAGGTCTCTCGAATCATTCTTTCGAGCTGACAGGCCGTGGCGCTCAACATGTCTTATTAAATTTCAGCTCCCCAACTGAAGCCATCTACGGCCAGCTCGTATCAGCGCTTGCGGAATTCTGCTTATCTCTTGTTCGTGTAACTAGAGTTGGCCTCTACCGTCGTTTGTGTGATATCGGAAGCATCGAGACAACCTACTTAAAGGATCTCATCTTCCCGTCGTTCACCCTCATCCATCTCACATCACAATTCACCTCCAATTTCCTCTCTCTAGAGCAATCACCGTCTCAAAGCACTTTGCAACCATGGGTCTCCCTATCACCACCACCGCCTCCATCAGCGTCCCAGCGGCCAACTCCTTCGGAGCCACCGTCCTCCAGCCACAAAGTGACACTAACAACTCGACCGGCAACGGCAGCTGTCCATTCGTCGCCAGCACCCACGCAACCGACGCCACCCCGCAATGGGCACCAGGAGCGTCTGCCGCGCCGTTGGGCGTCTTGACAAAGCTGGAGAACCGCACCTTCACCGGTAGAGGATTCAACACCATCTTCCGCCCACACAGCACCACTTCCCCGACCCCGCTCAAGATCACCCCCGTGCTGCCCCAGGGTTTCATCCCGGACAACATCCTCCAGCTCAACATCACGCATGAGACCCAGGTCTTCGCTCCCGGTCTCGGGGATGTGCCCAACCGCGGCCTCATGAAGCAGCAAGATATCGATCTCAACGGCGTGCCCTACACGCAGACGATTTACGACATCACGGAGCCGGAACCCAAGCCTCCCGTCATCCACTTTGAGCCTGGCCTCTGGATGCACGTTCCGGAGACCACCATCCCCAAGCTCAAGACTTCCCTCGCCCGCATGGCATCCATCCCGCACGGCACCACAATCAATGCCCAGTGCTTCTCGGACCCGTCCTTCAGCGTGGGCGCCCCTACGATTCCCACGGTGTCAATCACCCCATTCACCATCAACGGCAAGAATCCCATTACCTTCCCCAGCCAAACCGCAAAGGATCCCGGAACCTTCCGCCTCCCCCAGGACCTCGACCCGTTCGTGAAAGCTCAAACGATCACGCAAGAAATGATCAACGACCCCAACGTCGTCCTCAAGAACGCCAACAAGGGCAAGGACATTGTCGAGCACACCAGCTACTCCATCACCACCCAGACGCAAGCCCCCAACTTTGGCGGCGGCACCAGCAACATTGGCTTCCTCATCGGCGACAAACAACAAAACCTCGAACTGCCCAGCCGCGCCAACGCCAACGCCGTCAAGATGGAGGCGCAGTACTGGATCTCGACCGTCCGCACAAAGATCCGCCTGGAGCCGTGGAAGGAGGGTCCCTCCACCGCCGAGCCGTGCCGGCACTTCTCCCCGCTCCCGATCCGCGACGGCGAGGAGGTCCCCGTGTTCGAGGTCCGCTTTGCGATCCCCGCGGCCAAGACCGTCTCGGTCACGTACACCCAGCTTCAGTACTCGCAAAACGTCATTCTCGACTTTGCTCAGCTTAGCTGGCCCCATGTTACTGTTGGCACGCTTGTCCAGACTAGCCCGACGGTTCTGCCGGCGTCGATCCTGAACCAGTGATTTTGATACCGAGTTCGGTTGAGGAGGATATTGAGTTTGCAGTCTTTCTTTCTTCTTCTTCTTTTAGTAGCCATTGATCTGTCGAGGTTTTCTTTGTACACCCGAGGCAGTAGTATGGACCCAGCACCTAGTATCAGCTGGCCTCATTTCTTAGGAAGTAGTATACCGCAGATTGAGAGTACGCGCTGCTGTTGGGAATAACAAGCGGGACCTAGGGTGGCTCCCTCCTGACTACCTAATACAACGAGAAACTTCATCTTAACAAACGATCATTCATTCATTGACCCTGATTCCCTCGTGAAAACTTCAAAAGTTTCGACACGTAGACGATGTCAAACTGTTTACTTGGTTGATGGAGTCCACTGCTCGAGCAGCTCTGGGCGGTCTACACCTCACCAACTTAAAAGAACTACTTCGCCCCCTTTAGGTATTTATCGCCGGCGCAGAGACACTGTTTTTGTATACCCTTGAGATTCAACCTCGGTCTCAATCCGGTAAGAACCTCTACTTGGAAGGAACAAAAGCTACAACAAGATAGGGAGGTAAGGCAGGTAGGTGCTTTCGGCATCAACATTATGACTCCACCATCAAGCGCCTAGAACATATCCCAACATGTAAAAATCACTCGAGTCACGCCAATACCACAAGGACAAAACATGGACAACAAAGTCTTTATTCTAATCAAGCTCCCCCCCAACTCTCTCTTCACGTCTCCAGACCACCATCAATCTCCCACGCCCAACTTCACCAAAATGAAGCAAACACTCCTCTCATCCTCCTCACCGCGCCTCGGTCACCAGCGGAGTATGGATGGGTATCAATTATATATAAAACCGCACCGATGCCTAAGCCCCCTAACCCCCTCCTCTTTCTTCATCTGTCGAATCCGCCCAGCTCGCAATTTTCAAGCCCCTCCACCATCACTTGCACCACGACACGAGCTCCTTAACCACGCACGGTATCACAACTTTCCTATCCAGACCCTCGGCACAGAAAAGCCCCCTCTGATTGACCCGCTAACCCCCTTTGAAAGATCTTCAATCTGAACTCAACTCGGCAACAAGAATAGAAAGGCCAAACTCCCCATTGTGATTTGGACAAGAGAGGTAAACGCCAGGCATGGGGAGAATTCAACAGTAAACGCCTGGCGGGATGGAAGTAGAAATCCGCATGCACTCAACAACACGTTGCGTAAAAAGGGAAAACAAGATGGAGCTCGGCATGAACGAGTATGTGTGAGCGTGTTAAAAAAAAAAAAAAAGTTGACAATTTTTCTGGTGCAATCGCTACGATTATACATTTTGATAATCGGGGAGTAAGATTTGGCAAGTCTTGAAGAGGCAACCCCTGCTCAACTGCCTTTCGATTTGGGATATGGATCACGGCTCTGCCAGACACATTCCAGGAATGTTGGATGTTCAATAAACAAGCTCCTCTCCGTTCTGGTTTGCAGTACAGCTTCGAAAAAGCAATATCCCCGTCACTCGGCGCGTTGCCACCAAACCCCCTCTAACCTCATGAAGTGACACATACACACCGGATCGAGGATACGCTGGCTTGGAGAGCTGCTGCTGCAGGACGCTCGGTAGGGTACAAAAGAAAACTTGGATCGCGGTGCTGCTCTCAAGTGGATTGCCTGCGAAAGACAATGCAGTTGTCTGGTGGGAATATTTTGATAAATACATCTAATTGGATCGGCCGATGCTGTGAATGGAATTAAGAGACTCGTAACGTCGTTGGAGGCTCGCCTCGCGGTTGAAAAGGGTATGGTGTTGCGGTGCAGGAACGGGTTGTACTGGGGTTGGCGGCAAAGTTGAGTAAGGCTAGACGCATGGCAGCGGCCATTCACATGACAAGACAGCAGCCGCAGCCTCCGCTCTTCTTCTTCTTGTCTCCGCCCATGGACATGTTTGCGGCAGCAGAAGGCCGTTCGGGTACGCGGACGACTGTCTGAGTCTCGGCGGGTTGCTGGAGTTGCATGGTCGGACTCAGTGGGCCCCGTGGGCTCGGCAGCGGGCTGGTCTGGGCTTTGTCGGAGATCTTGGGCATGGTCGAGTACGAGTTGGTCTGCTTGATGCTCGGCGACGTGGGACTTTTGGGAGCGTCACCTCTAAGCGGCCACTCATCTTGCTCCTGCTTCTCTTCTTCGGGGGGTGTGGTGCTTGATCCACCTTCGGGAGGCTTGAGAAGACCATCTGCCGTGAGTGGGCGAAACTCTTTGTCGTAAATACTGCCATACTTGCCCTCTCTTTCCCATTGCTCCTGCTGCAGACGCTTGGCGACCGTCGGGAGTAGTTGTTGGTCAGGTGGCAGGCGAGGGTCAGGACGATAGGATCCCACCATCCATGGTGGATCTCCCTCAGGCTTCTTGACACCAGGAGAGAGGTCTCCCGATCGCGTTGTCGGCCTGTTTCCCGATATGCTGCTCGTGGAATCCTTGCCACCACGTGTCTTGGTCTTTCCACCAGCCTTGATTTGAGTCGAGGTCTTTCTGGTGGTGCTGGAGGTGCCGCTGCCTTTTCGGGGAGAGATATCGGTGTTGTTGCGTTTCGCGGGTGCCAAAGTTGACGTCGCACCGAGCGTATTTGCGCTGCCGCTCCTCGGTCGTGGTTTCGGGTAGGCAATCGTCTCGAGCTCGCTGCCGCCACTTCTTCGTCGTCCAGAGGGCGCGTTCCTCTCCAAGTAATACTCTGGGATGGGGGCCGGGCTGGCCTTGGCGACGGGGATTTTGGAGCCGCTTTTGTTCTTGTCACTAATAGAGGTCCAGTAGGCGTCGTCGCCCTCGACAGCGATTTCTTCAGGCAGCCGAAGATCCCAGGTAGGCACCTCCGTATCCAGCATCCTCTCTTCCGGGACTATGCTCTCCGGCGACACCGAGCTTTTCCTAGATCTCGGGAGTGGTATTTCGTCGTCTGGTGGGGCGGAGGTGGTCCTCTTGGAGCTTCCATTGAGCTTCTCCTCGCTGCGACCTCTGCGCGGTTTGCTGCTCGCACGCGCCCTCGGTAAGACGATGCCTGCAGCCTGGAGCTCTTGACTCTCAATCTTTGCCAGCTTGTCGCGGTGAATCCACTTGTCGTCGTCAGAGGCGGGCACCTCGTTCGTCAACCGCTTCTCCTCGGACCCAGCCTTCCCACCGAAAACATCGTCTGCGCTGTTGCCCGATTTCGACGTGTCGTTGTCACGCCGGTTTGTCCTATCCCATGACCTTGTGCTTTTCGTCAGAGATATGTTGTCGTTGGAAGCCTTCTTTCGCGGGGGAGGGAGAGGCTCGAAGCCGTATTCATAAATGTTTGCCGAGCTGCCGTTTTGAGATAGGGGTGGCCGGCTGGTTTGGTCGGTTCTATCCAGCGATCTTTTGTTTTGTAGGTTCTGCGTGACGTTGTCAGCATATGCACCTGCAAGCGGCCTGGCCGGGGCCAATTGCAAAAAAAAAAAATTTAAGAAGTCACCGGGACCGTAGCTATCTTACCTCTGTGTCTGCCGTTGCATAATTATTCCATGCACCTCCGCTGCCGTGGCTGCTGCTCGGGGGGGTGATTGTGTTGGCCGTCGCTGACGCGGCGGATATGGCGGCCATCGCGCTGTCTGGAGAGCTGGAAAGCCAGCAACCTCCAGACTCTGGGTGTGAGGAGTGGAAGGAGATAGTCGGGTCCAGCAGCAAGGCAGGTCTCGTGAGTGCGTGATCAGAGTCAGGCCAATGACGACGAGATGAGATGGCGGTGCGACAATGATACTGAAGAAGTGAAGCTGACGCTGTTGAACGGGAGCGGGAGATTGAGATTGTGTCGCCGGCTTTGCATCTAGCGTGGTGGTAGCTCAACCAGCAAAGCGGATTATTAGGAGGCGCTCAAGAAGCGCGACGTGAGGACGATCAGGGTCAGGGTCGCCTGGTGTGTCGAAACAAAGGAAACCAAGGTAGTGTCAAGGCGGGACAGCGACCGGAGGACGGGGTCGGGAGAAGGGTCAATGAAGGTGGTACGTGGTAAAAGGGGTGTCGAATCGAAATGGGGAATAGGAGACGGGGGCCTTTCAGCAGGAGGCCATTCGCAGCGACGAGTGCGGTGGTGGGAGGAGGAGGAGGTGGTGGTTTGACGGAGCTGTTGTTGCGTATGGCGTCTCCTCGTCTTTGGTGGTGGCCGCCCTCAGCGTGGTTTCCACAGTGCCGGTGCAGAGCAAGGCAACAGGAAGAGAAGAGACACAAAGCAAGACAGAAGACAAAGACGGGGGAGTGAATGAAGTGGATGGGAGAGGGAGAAGTGGAGGAGGGCCGCACAGTCG